GTCCCCGGGGAGCCGCTCGCTGGGAGCTGACGGGGCGTGGGGTCTGCTCGGGCCGTTCAAGTGCAGCTCTGCAGGGGGTGAGGGTGGGTTTGGAAAGGCCTCTTCTCCTCCTGTCTTGCGTTTTTTTGTGCGGAGAGGTGGTGTTAGATAACTTCTTGCTAAGGAAGGTTCTTTCAGGTCTTGTGAAACGGCTTGTAGCTGGAGCAGCCCGCGGCTGGTGGGGCTGTGAGGGGACGGCACAGTCCCAGCAGCAGAGGTGCTCCGATGTCTCCTTTGCTTACCTAAGCAGGCAAAAGACTCCTGGCATTGTAGGGGTAATCAAAAGACAAAGGAAACAAGCAGAAAACCTGGGCTTGTGCCACACGCATGCCTTTGCCGTGCAGAGCGAGGAGACGTGCTGGCCTGGGGCCTTCTCTGGCAGCTTGTGGCTGTGTTGTGACAACTGAAATGAAGAAAGCCAACGCCATAAATGAGGGCAAGCAAGCTTCCTGTGATGGAGCTTCTCTGCTGAGAAATAGGAGCTGTCTGGGAGCCAGCTAGGACTGATACAGGAGTGGAAGTCATCAAGGACAGCAGAGTGAGCTTAGGAAAATATATTGCTTTGGCCTTTTTTTTTTATTTATATCTTAATGGTGCTCCCAGGTCCACCAGCATTAAAATCTCGTTTTAGATTGTAAAACAAACAGAAGGAAACCAAAAGAACTGATCTTTAAAGAGCTGAAGTGGAGGTAAGAATTGAGATAAACAGAAAAATCAATGTTATCAGCAACCCAGAAACCAATTTTCAAATACGTGTGTTTAGTAGGGCAAGCAGTCTGAATCTTGTAGCAGCATAAATCTTTACCTTACCTACAGAAAAAGAGGGGTAAAAAAAAAAAAGCAGGGAAGCAGTAGCAAAGCATTTGAGTAATGTACATGCACTCTAAATAACTGTCTGAAAGTTAGTAATACTATGTGACTGCATGACTTCAGAGAATAAAAATGTTAACAGTAATGTAGTGACTTGGGTTTTTTTTAATCTAAATGTTGAAATAAAAAATCATTTCTAAAATGTGCTATTACTCTGGCATACCTATGGGTTGCTGCTCTGTGCGTGGGTGTTGCCAATGTAAGCCCTGTGCCTTGGGTCTATCCTACTGGTTTTAGGACTTTTCAAGGTAACCTTGTTACGAATATTCCTTTTGTCCTCTAGCACCATGTCAGTCGGGTCTCAAATAAGTGTTTATCAAACCGTATCTGCATGTGTGCACTCAGGGCTGCCTTTGTTTCTCCTGCCGCAGTAGGGCACCTTTCTCTGCCGCTCTCGAGTGGGTTGGTTGCAGTGGAAGAGCCTCCAAGTGAAAGCTCTGGGGAGGGAGGAAAGCCTGGGGTGAGCCCTAACTTTCTCAAAACCTTTGGCATTGTTGCCAAGAGCAGGCCTGCTATAATGGCTGTAACCTCTAACAAACACTGAGCCGTTTGCTGTGTTTGAAAGCTGCTGCTTGCTAGTCAGGCTATTGGCAGGTCCTCTCAGCCAGTACAGCCCTGTGCACGTCTGCTTGGCCTCGCTGAGCTGCTTTTAATCAAGTTTGTCCAGTTTCCCATTTTCATGAAAAAACAGGAGAAAAATCTGTGTATTTTTTGTGATCTACAAAATCCGTGCTTCCTGTGTTGGACAGGGCAGAGTTCTCTGCATGCATTTAGTGATGTGTTCCCCTTATGGTGGGTTATGTGGTCGATAATTCTACATCCCAGTGTCAGGTGCCGTCAAATGAAAGTAGAGGTAATCCCAGAGTGCTACCAGTTGTTGATTCAACAGTACTGGTTTATTGCCTACTGAGCATACCTACTTGCAGCTTTCCAAAAAGTTTTGTCTTCTTAAAAAGGCACCGCGCATTTTTCCTGACAGCTTTTGGTCAATACTGGTGAAATATTCTCAGTGATTCGTCTTTGGTTATGCCACCATGAAAGAAAAATGCTCTTTTCTTTGTACTTGTAAATAAAGTAGTTGAAGAAGGAGAATGTATGTGTGATTTGTAATCCTATAACTGCTCAGGAAGCATACTGTGTTAAATATATATATGTGTGTGTGTTGTGTGTATACATAGGTTTTTCCCTTCTCAGGCCTTGCTAAGAATATGGACTTACGCAGGTGGATGTTTAATAGTCTTACACATCTGGGTGTTGAGTGACCCTACCATAGCTGGATGCTCTGCGAATAATCCATTCCTGACTGACAGCTTCCAGAACATGGTTCCCTTGGGTTTTGTCTATTAAAGCAACTCTTTCTTTGTTTTTCTGTGAAGACCTACGGTGACTCCATAACTTAGTCTTCATTTGAAAGTGTTGCAGCTATTGCTGATCATCCAATGTATTAATGAATCAGCCCCACTAGTCATTATTTGTTTTATGTGACCAGGGGTGTTGAATGTGAATGAACATTGAATGTTCACAGCAATATTTATTTTCTACATTACCACTTCTTAGTGGGGTTTTTTTGTCATGCATTACTGGTTGTGCTAAAGTCGGAGTTCCCTTACTGTAATAGACTTATGCATCTTGTCTCTAAGAAAAAAGGAGTCCACAGATCTGTTTTACATCAGTTCTTCAGCCAGGGACATGACAGGTGTTGAAAGCCAACATGAAAGAGTGAATTATTAGAAGGATCAAAGGAATTTTTACTTCCTGACCCCAAAGCTTCTGCCATTTTCTGAGGAATGCTGCTGTCACAGTGTGCATTGCAAAATTGTCCTGCGTTCTGTGAGCTAAATAGCAGTCTGGTTACGACACAGTCAGTCGGTCTGCTCGCTGTGGGGTTACGAGTGCGTGCTGGCAAAAATGTATGTTGGCAGGCATATGCTCGTATACATGTTATTTTTATGGCACAGCTGTGTCTCTACTGGGGATTTCTGTCAGCAGTTATCTTGGTAAGACATTAATATCTGCACGCTTTAGACTGACACAGCAATAGCGATGGATATCTGTAGCAAAGATCTGATCTGTAGACGTTAGCCACAGAATAAGTTGGGTTTTGGGAGCTATAAGAGCAAAGCCATTTTTCTGTCTTGCCTTTTTTGTGATCAGTCAGTCAAACTGTGCTTCTTTTTTGAGTACTGCTTTTCAAGAATACTTTTTGCAGCAGTTTAGCTACTGTTAGCCTGTTACTTTTTGAGCTAGATCATATGCATTACGCTAATATTTTTAAAAATTCTAAGAAATTATTCTGTGGTTAGAAAGTATATTAACTTTCAAACCAAACGTGTTCCTTTCTAAAGCCTGTTGTTATATACTTGAGTAAGTAGTTTATAGTTCTCCAAGGTACAAAACTAATTACCTGTCAGAGTGTCTATGTCCACCCACCTGACAATCGCTATGCGTAGCTTGCTCCCAAAAGCTACTGTCTGTTCTGCTCATTTTTGTGACTTTTGCCATATATGCTTAACGCCATTCCCCCTTCAGTAAAACACTCTGTAATACCTCTGCTCTCTTGGTTGGATAACCAGTGCCTCTTGATATCATTTGAGATTGTTGGATATCATGGACAAAGGGGGAGAGGTTAAGCATAAATCACTCAATTTTAGTTCCTTACTGTACTTTTTTAATAAATCAACCAAATAAGACACGTTAATTATTAATTACATAGTACTATCAACATACTAACTGTAGGATTTAAACTATATAAAAATTAACTATATAGAGGCATTCAAATGCCAGGGCTTTGTCTATGAAATGTGTGCTCATTCTGAAAATCATGAAGTGGTGCGTAAGAACTCAGTTTGAATACAAAAATCCACAGTGATGTTAAAAATTATGCCCTTTGACAGCAAAATACCAATCATCCAGATGAAGTGCTATCAGATTGCTTTAGAAACAAGAGTTGCTGGCCCCTAGAAGACCAGGGAGAAAGCCAAGTCTATCACTGAAGTTGACAGGTCTTCTGTAAAAAACATTCGTATGTCTATTTCACATTTACTCTTACCATATTTGTTAGTGAAGATATTAATTCTGTCAAAATATACACTTACTACTATAAATACTGCAGCAGACTTCCAAGATCATTTATAAAAATAAATACTATCAGCAGGGTTTATTTGCTGTAAACACTAAAATTGACTAAAACTAATGTTTGTGAATACTTTGTAGAATAACATTGTGTTAGCAAACTTCCAGAAAGAAAATTGTTTGGCCTTAAAAGAAGAGTAATTAAAGGATATTTTCTTTTAGGACACTGGGGGGGGGTTACATCTTCTCAAAACCTTTCAAACTAGACATTGATTGTAAGTTATGTTTCCTATTCATTTACTGAATAAAAACGCTGGGTAAAATTGTGTATTGCTGTTGCTGTCTGTATACAAATACAAATTCTATTAACTGTTTGCATGTTCTGTATTTACTGTCAACAGCTGAAAAGAAATTTGCCAGCGTACTTGGGTCCTTGGAGGGCTTCCCCATGTGTCTTCAGATCCTCCAAATCGGAACTCATGCCAAATCTAGCCAGTGATGGAGTTGTCTGTGCTCCGCTTCAAACATTCACTGAAGAGGAGATGATGCTGAAAAATATGGGTACCTATTGTCTGTGTGGTTAAAATTCAGAAATGTCTAATCAGAAGGAAAATTTTAGCTTGAAAATTTCTTTTCATTATTTAATAAGCATTGTTGTTTAATTATAGTTAATGTTAAAACTGCTTTAGTTCACAAGAGTAATGTTCTTTTTCTATGTTACCATAGCACAGTTCCACATACCACAGTGCAGTTTACTCTGCATAAATAAATATTAACTGTTTAAAACTATTGCTGTAGTAGAAGTGAAGTTGCCTGGCATTGACTCATGCCCTTTCTAAAGTGTTTAGTTCAGCTACAGTTAGCGGCTGTAGCTGGTTTTCAGAGATTTTGGGTATACCCAGAAGGGTGACAGATGTGATGCGTCTGCCACGCAGCCAGGCCTGCATGAAGAAGACAGTGTTTCAGAAGGAATCCTCAGAGCAAAGGTAAAAGAGTGAGGACCTGCACATCTGGGACAGAGCTTATAAAAGGCTCCAGTTAAACAGAAACAGTCTTATTTATAGGGCTTTGTGCACTCAAAATAGCGTATGTTAAAGCCTGAGACCATCTTCCCAAACTGCAGGTTTAATTTATAAAGAAATAAGATACAGCTAACAAAACAAGGGGTGTATTTAAAATATTTTCAATAATTTTTGGTCAACTAATGTTACATTAGTGTTGCTGAGATGCTTTCAAAGTTTCTAATTTATAGGAAGTATTTGTTTCCGTTTAGAGAGTTGTTGCTGAGTTCAGAAAGAAATTATAATTGAGCCTTGTGGCACGTTACCTTGTTTCACTCAGGCAACTTTTTGTCGTTTTATTAACTTGTCTGGGAGAGTCAGGGAATACATGCATAACCTGTCAGAAGTACCATATTACTGCTATATTGATCTTCAGGTAAGGTGTTAGAATACTTACACACTTCCTTTCTTCTCTTCATTACAGTGACAAAATTTGCTCAGGAACGAGTCGCACCTTTGGTACAAAAAATGGATGAGAATTCAAAAATGGAAGACTCTGTAATACAAGGATTGTTTGAACAAGGGGTCTGCACACTTTTACTTAATCTTTTATTCAGCAAATGGCATCATTTTATGAATCTTTAGCTGTGCACTTTTCAGATTTTTAGATTAAAAGATTGAGGGATATGATTCAAATGAACTAATTTTGGATTTATCATCAGCAGGGCAAATTTCCCTTTTTTTTTTTTACTGCATTATCACTCTCCATCTTTTCCTGTAATATTCTTTCCATGTCTCCCACTCCCATACCACATTTTTCATCTTATCTTTGAGTTCCTTATCTCCCACACACACTTTTTTTTTTTAAATTGGATAAGAATAATTGCGTAGAATGCTAGAACGACCACGACTCTGTAAGTGTTGCTGGGAAAGGGTATCAGGAGTCCTCTGTGTCCTTACTGGGCAACCACAAGGACTTGTCTTGCAGATATCCTGTTGATCATTCATGGATTCAATTTTAGCCTTTCCTGCTGTCAAACCTAAAGCTTGTCTGTGATTAGAATGTCATTTTATACAACAACTACTCTAAATATTAGACTTGTGTTGAGATTGCAATTGTGCTGGAATATGTAATCAAATTAGGGTGATGATTGGCCTGTATACTGCACATGTTAGTTATTTCTTGCGTTAATTGACTATCAGCTTCTGTGAAGAGTTGTTATTTTGTTAAGGGTATTGAAGGAACACAGTTCTTCGGGGAAGGATCTGGAAATGCTTACATTCTGTCGTTTTTATTTTAATCTCTTAAGTATCAGCTTGGACTAACAAATTGGTGACAAGAACTAACAGATCGATATGTTTGTATCTTTTACATTTCAGCTGATGAGTATTGAGCTTGGGGAAGAATATGGAGGAACTGGAGCTTCATTTTTTTCAGTCATATTGGTGGTAGAAGAATTGGCCAAAGTTGATCCAGCTGTTTCTCTTCTATGTGAACTCCAAAATACACTAACAAATAAGTTGTTTATCACATATGGAACAGAAGAACAAAAGAGAACTTACTTGCCCAGAGTCGCTAAAGATACAGTGAGTCAAAGTCTCACTTTACTAAACTATAATATAATTTTTAATAGTTAAGTTATGTTAGTGGGGTGGTTTTTTTCAGTAACTAAATGGGTGACTGTAGCATTTGAAAATATGTGTGAACATTGAAACGCTGGTTAGAGCTGAGATCTGTGGTGATATAGATACATCCTGTCATCAGCAGCCGAGAGGTAAAAGTGGAAAGGTGCCTATTAGTTTCATTAAAATTTAATTTACTGTGGAAAAGAAATTTAAAGCAGTTGACCTTGAGAGACATGTAATTACACAGTGTTTCTAGTCTTAATCTCCGTGTCTGAAACTTAGTTACTTTGATGCAATAATTTAAAATGTTTGAATTTAAGAGACTTGTGCTTGTTTATTTTCTTTGCAGAATTTGTTATACATTGTGCCTATGTGTTCAGTAGAAAATAAAATGAGTTTTTCCCTTCAATTGACAGATAGGCAGTTTCTGTCTTTCGGAGGCTGGATCTGGCAGTGATGCTTTTTCTTTGAAGACTCGGGCTGAAAAGAAAGGAGACTACTATATTATCAATGGCTCAAAGATGTGGATTAGCTTAGCGGAACACGCAGGAGTCTTCTTTGTGATGGCAAATACAGATCCGTCCTTAGTAAGTTGGTAAAGAATAGTTGCATTTCAGTGACAGCTGATTATGTATGAGACTATGGATTTTATATTAATGCTCTGATGTTAAAGGTTAATATTCTTTGAACCTTTTCCTAGCTGACAGCAAACCTTTAAAAATACTTCCCGACAAAAACTGAGAACTTGCTGAGCAATTTAATAAATTCCTCCCACCAGGGAAAATAAAGATGTCAGAATCATCATTGCTTAGATGAAGAGCACAGCGTGCATTGGTATTCTTCTGAGTAATGGAAGAACAGATAGCCTAAGTCTTTCCAACTCTTCTCACTTAACTGACAAGTCGCTATTGTTAAAAGGCAAAATAGAGCTTAGGCTACACCCACTGGAAAACTAACAAGAATACACCAGCAAAGTATGTTCAGGTAAAAAAATACATAGCTGAATATGCATGTTTCAAGTTTTGTCACCAATTTGGATATAGGTAGTAGATTCAGAAAAGTCAACTGCAGGCTTTAAAATGTACTATACCAATACAGTAGAGTGATAATCAAATACAAAACTAAATTGTTTACAACTTTTATTTATTTTTTTTAAACTTATTCCAGTATCTCTTTCTTAAAAACTTGAAGATACTTATTTTTAAAATTAAAATTTCAGGTTTTCACTAAATACAAAGAGGGGGTTTTCTTTCATTGTCTCGAACAGTTGAATATCGTGTTGCTTTCTGAATTTTTACTCATTTCTTCACAAGCCGTTGGGTGATTTGAGTACCACAGACAATGAAAATATATTTGATAAGCCAGTTTCTATATTTGTTAACTGTTGTGCATTGCCTTATAATCTGGAGTCGTTTCTGTATTAGTGTAACATTTTAAAAATATATAATATATTGTCTTCTTAAAGTTAGAAATTTGCTTTTAAATATTCAAGAAGGAGTCAGTGCTGCTCAAAGATTAAGTAACAGTTGACATCAGTATAAATGAGAGAACGGACCAGTGTAGAATTGCGTACTGAAATGTGCACTCTGCACTAGCAGCTCCCATTTGGTGAGATGGGCTGTCGTTGAGGTGAGGTGGAATCCGCAGCCTTCTCTTTCCTAAGAGGCAACTCTTCCAGAAGAACCACAGGACTTTTCCTGCCTCTCAGTGTCACCCGCTTAGTGAGAGGAGGTGCTGTGGATGTTGGGGACAGGAAGAGATGGAAACGTGGCCAGGAACACCTCACATTTTTGTCTCATGGACCTTGTAGTATGTTGCATAACAGACACAGCTGTGGTTCTGGCTGGGGGCAATGCTGAGGAAGCAAGAATGATTGGGGAAAGGAGAGAGAATTGGGAATAAGAATTACACAGAGGGGAAAAAGGGAAAGTGACAGCTATCGGGAATCACCGTTCTGTACTTCGAGAACCTAGTTTAGGGCTTCAAAGATGTGAAGATTGTAAGCCAGTATGTAGGAGAGGCCAGAATTTAGATTGGCTGTACAATCTATGTGTTTTCAGATGCGTTATTTAGTGTCCTGTCCAAATCATTATCTGAATACCAAATCAACTCTTTGAGCTTTTTGATAACAACCGTCATACCATCATAATGATTTCAGACTATTAATTATATTCCCACTACCTCTCTAAAGTGAAGAGACAGTGATATCAATGTTCTGCAAACTGGAATCACAAGGAGAATGTGTGCACCAGTTCTGGGTGTTAGATTAGGTCTGTTATAATACTTACAATTATACTGCGCTTTGAATGTTTCAGCACGGTTCCCAGTGGCGCCAGTCTCATCAGTCTCTTACTCTGGACAACCTTAAAAGGAAGAGTATATACACAGCCTTCCATGAGAAGAGTAGCTGAAGTAATTGGGCTTAAGTAAAATCTTGCATCCTATAGAATCATCTGACATGGGTTTAGAGCCATTATTTGTTTGACCACTTTAGTCTAAAGATACCCTATGTCTTCTCGCAGTCCATTGTTTGCCTGTGACATATGTTCCAACAGTAAGCAGTAGCTTCACTGCACAGCCATAACTTGCTTTCCCAGTGATTTCCAGTACAGACAGGCACTACAGTCCTGTCTGTTTCATTTCCATAATACCAGTCCCCTGTCTTATCAAGAGAACTTTTAAGGTTGTTCTAATTATGTTTTCCGAATGGAATATTTTAATAGGAAGGTATCTCTGGCCTTTGTTAAACCATAATTAGCAGACATAGAGGGAACAGATGATGGTGCCAGTGTTTTATCTAGTAATATAGTATTAAGCAGGTGTAAAATTTCTGTAGTGGAATGAGATATTTAGACCACCATTTGCTGATATTAGTATAAGAAACAGTTCCTGACTAATTTGTAATTCATCCTAGGGATACAGGGGAATTACATGCTTCATAGTAGATCGCGACACAGAGGGACTACATATAGGGAAGAAGGAGGACAAGCTGGGAATCAGAGCGTCTTCTACCTGCCCAGTAACATTTGAAAACGTTAAGGTATTGTACGTTGTTTAGCTATTGAAGCATAATTTGTGTGTAATTGGAGCTTGACCACATATAAGGAAAGAATGTTAACTAAATTCCCAATATTTTTTTTTTCCTTAGACATACTGATTGTTTGGCATATTTTAACTTTTTCCTCCCTATTCTTTCACAGAAGTCTTGAGGGGGGTTAGATTTCTTAAATTTTGATACAGATTTTCTCAGTCATCAGTTTATAATCACATGTATCAGGAAATGTTCTAATCAGATATTGTAGGAATCATGTCTGGTTTAAGTTTTATGCCTTCTACTTATGAGGAACATTAAATAAAACCTGTACACTGATTCACCTGTGAACCGTGCTAGCAGTTGCAAAGCAGAATAGAAGAGGAATAATTGCGTGGTTTTATTCTTTAGGTTCCTGCGACCAATATCCTGGGACAGGTTGGAAAAGGCTATAAGCATGCGATTGGACTGCTGAATACCGGCAGAATAGGTATTGCTGCACAGGTGGGTGATTTTGTTTAATACTGAATACAACCAGTATATAACTTTGAATTTGGATTGACATTTACAAAATATTTAAAGCTAATAAGAATAAAGTATTTAGAAAATACTTTATTAAAAACTAAATTGCCACTAGATGTCACTATTCCTGCATCTAAGTTACGGTAAAATACTGAAACAACTGTAAATGGTAAAATTCTCCTTTGGTGACATAAGCAATAGATTTAGAAAACATTACATGGCAATTAGTTTGTCTTTGGTGGTTAACTTATTGCTGCTGAAATATGTCAACATTTTTATTTTCCATTATGCAAATTTATTTTACAAAGAAAACTAGCTTTGGAAAATATAACACACTGAAATGTATAACATTAATGCTTCCAGCTGTGATTGTATGCAATTGCCAAATGTGACCTTATGCTAACTGATGTTTTCCCAACAACTTATTTTTAAAAGTCAACTTATTTTTAAAATAAATATGATTTTTTCTAGCAGAAGTGTCCTAGTTCATTTTTGTGTTTGAAAATTGCACCTTATGGCATCTTAGAGGAAAACATTTGCTGACCTTGGAGTTATTTCAAAATGTTGTATTTTGTTGTAAACTCAATTTGGATCTCAGATTGCTGCTGATTTCAGTGGAAATCAGGTTCAGCCCTATAATAAAATGACTTATGGAAAGTTTTTGTATTTTTAGTTTACTTTTGAAAGTAATCTTTTCTTTGTTTCTACTTTGTTGTGGATGTACTTGTGCTGTATAAGGTGAAATATGTCTGTACTACCAATCTCCCTTATCTTTTGCCCTAGTTTGCAAACAGACCAGAAGTAATAGGCCTCATGAAATTTAGACTTTCCACATGGCAGTATACTGTGCTGCTAAATGGGCTGGCTTTTTCATCATTTCTAAAGATTATCTGTGATTAAACTTTGTCTGATATGTCATTTAAAAACTACGGCTGTGGGCCCCGTTGTTCCCAGAAAAACAAATAAGAGGCTCTGGCATTAAAATACATGGTCTGGATTTTACTCTTAATTACTCCAAGTTACACTTATAACCTGATTAAAAGTTAAGGTCGGGTAGTTGTTAAATCTTAGTTACCACTTTCTTGGCACCTTCAAATGAAGAGAAATGTACTTGAATGTACAAGAACGGCAGTTCCAAAGCCCTGTATTGAATTTAGTTTTGTGGTAATAATAGTTTTAAAAGACAATGAACATCTTATAAAATGTAATTGTGGCTGTGAAAACAGTTTCAGGTAGTTTTAGTGCAAGGTAGCTGCATATTTTGTTACAGGTGCTGAAGTTGATATACTTGGTTCATCTGTATCAGTTTATATAAGAAGGCAACAAATCTGATTAGCAGCAGATGGTATTATTTTCTTATGCTCTTTTCCCACATACTCATTTTCCTGTGTATTGTGGGTTTTATTCCTAGAATCTTAAATGATTAAGGAGTAGATGTCTGAACCCAGTCAGAGTCTTGTTTTTAATCTTCTTGGGGCCCTTGGCTTTCAACTTAATATGTGGGTCTATCCAAAAATACCCATACGCTACTGTACACCATTAAAAGTAGTTTGACATAAGCTGCTTGATGTGACAGCTGACTGCCACGTTGTAGTATCCCCTCCTGACTTAGGAAAGTTTTATGAGATTCCAAATTTACCATATACTGTTGCCTTGCTTTTTGATAGTTCTTCATGCCATTCATTTCCCTTTGGGTTTTTTGTTTTTTTTTTTTTTTTTTTTGTTTGATGCTTCCCCTCGTCTAATTTCCTATCTCTGTTTTTCAGTGTCCCTTTTTTTTTTTTGTTTTTTCTTGCCTTTTTTTTCCCTTTGGGTTTTTTTTTTTTTTTTTTTTTTTTCTTGTTTGATGCTTCCCCTCGTCTAATTTCCTATCTCTGTTTTTCATAGGGAAGAAACTAGGTAGAAAGAATGAGTTCAGATGGATGGTAGTTATATAATTAAACCAACTGATCTTATTTACTAATAGCTACGTGTTCCAAGATACATGAAAGGCAGGGTCCTTTCTTTACTATCTGGTTTGGAATGGAACACACTCAAAATTTAGTAGTTAAAAAAACGTAAAACTAGTTTACTTTACAGATTCCATAATGTTTCTTTAGGCTAACAAACCAGACACTAGGGTAGATGCGAGTTACTTCTTTATAAATGTTCGTGTGCAGTTTTCCCAGACGTTATCCTCCCAAGATAACAATTGTGTTTTACTGTCTTTGCTGCTGAGTGAAGAGAGTGTGTGAAAAGACAATGGTCTTCTAAAATTGTTCTGTTGAGTTGTTCTTTTTCTAGGCAATGCTGGAACAAATGTTATCTCTCCTTCCACTGTACTAATTTTCTAACTTCTGAAATAAATTGCTAATTCTGACAGTCTAGTGTCTTCTATAAAATGAGAAATCATTTTTGCTATGAAAATAGCTTTGAGTAATCATTCAGATTATTTTTCCTTTAACAGTGTAATATAGATCTATAGATCTTTAGTTTACAGTAATTTTCCCATATAATGAAGGACTTTACCAGAAACACTTAATATTTGACCCATAACTTTTGTTCAAAAATTAGTGATAGTGTTTTCAGAAATATTTTGCCTTTAGTAAGAAAGTTTCTTTCAGGAATGGAATAGTATGGAATTGTCTTATTCCTCCAAGGTTGGTTGGTTTTTTTGTCCTAACTCACCTCAAGATGTCTTATTTCTTACAGATGTTAGGACTGGCACAGGGGTGTTTTGACCATACAATTCCCTATACGAAGGAGAGAGTCCAGTTTGGGAAAAGCATATTCGATTTCCAGGTATTTGTTAATGAACACGAGAGGTTTTCTCCAAGAGAGTAGTAGTTACCACAGTAGATGGAGTCAGTAAAATGAGTAATCTGATTTGCATAATTTGTGCTCCACCTTGTGTCACATCTCTACTTCTCAATATTTGAGAAGAATTTTTCAAAAGAATTTCAGATGAGTATTCATCTGCTGTGTAAAACATATAAATTCAGTGCCGTGTGCCTTTGCAAGTACCATATAAATCATTTAAAACTTCAAAACACTATTAACATGACTCCTTCCTTGATAGTATATTCACTGCCTTTGAAAATAATAGGCATGGAACCCCTTTCTCTTCTGATTTTAATATCACAGTATGTTGAATGTGTTCCAGTTTTTATACACTTTCATGAGATGTAGGGGATGGCCTTTTTCTGGAGACACTAGAAATTATAAAAAGATGAGGAAAACTGAATTATTAGATTTCCTGTGTTATACAAAGACATTTAGTTTTCATGATAATATCTGCATCTTAAAACGAAAAAGACTCTTTGTTGCAAAAATGATGTATAGTTTAATAAGGAAGATATATAATTGTAATTACTGTAGTAATTTTCTTGTTAAAAGAAACCTACATCTTGGATGAAGGGAAGGAACATTAGTACTACTCATAATTTATACAAATTTTAGGAAGCACCCACAGATATCTAGGAAATTATTGGAACTGTGTCCTTTGAATGGGAAATGGAATTTATAATTGCAGAATCGTTTTGTTATTTTGACCTGCATATATGTTTTTGCAAATTTTAGGGAGCAGTGTTCATGCTCTAATAAGATGAAAGATTCTGTTGTGTTTTAGGAGCAAGTTAGACAACTAAATGTTCGTTTTCAATCATTGTAATGTTTGGGTCTCTCTAAATAAGCCTGTGCTTCTGTAATACCTACCATTTAGAGGTGAGCTCCATCACCTTTTTCCTTCCCTTTGAATCCATCCATCAGTCCCATTCTCTACACTTTTATGCTGCCCCTGACTTTCGTCTCATGGTTATGGGACATGGGAAGAAGTGGTTGTCACCTTGCTATTTCTCCACTTTATTTAAGAGGTACTTTTTTCAAGTTTTTCTCAGTTAAGCTCAGAGCTTTGACCTACCTGTGTCTCTGGTGCTGAGAAGAACGTTAAGATTTGGCTGAAATTTTCCTTGATGTTCATGGGTGCAAATAGATTCATGTTGAACCCTCCCATCCAGCCAGTCAGGCAAGAAGCTCCCCAGTACTCCTGAATCCAAGAAGAGGGAAGGAGAAAATGGGAGTGCAGTTCCTGAAAGGACTTGGTGGCCCAGAGGTTTTCCAGCGTTGATGTCATAGATGCAGAGATGTGCAGAATTACTGGTCCATCTAGATTTTGTATTTTTGAGTGTAGGTATGTTCCTGGGTGAAAAGAATGGTTCTTGCTAGAAATTCCGGTTGAGTACTAGATACTGGTGCTGTCTGACTTGTGGCGTGCTTATGACAGGGGATGCAACACCAGATAGCTCAGGTGGCCACGCAGCTGGAGGCAGCGAGGTTGCTGACCTACAACGCAGCCCGTCTTGCGGAAACAGGAAGGCCTTTCATAAAGGAGGCCAGCATGGCCAAATACTACGCTGCTGAGGTAACCTGCAGTTTCTTTATTCAGTGGGTTTATTTCATCGCTGTTTAAACGTTTCTTCCGTTACTGAACGTATAACTTGTAATTCATGCTTTGCTGTGAGATCTTTGGATGTACTTCTACCTTGTTTCTCCTTCTCAGTCCGTCTGTGGAATGTAAAGTAGGCCACCAAAGAACGAACCGCTCACACCCTTAAATAAAATTTTTAAAAACAAGCAACATTAAAAGAGAAAGTGAATTAGTATTTTCACTCACGTAGAGAGATTTCATTCTCTCAGAATTCTCTGTTTGTGGCTGGAGAATATGGTATGGTGAGACTCCATCTGTGACCATTTCCACTCTGCTGGTCACAACTGCGAGTCTTCATGGGACTCAAAACCAGATTGCTTCTGCCTCTTTGTAACTGCTGTCTTGCATACTGCTGCTAGTCTTTTTCATAGTGCAGCATATGAACTATTGCAGTAACGGTTAGTGAATTCTTGATGTCCTCTGATTTAGAAAAATGACAATTTTTTTCTAAAATAACTTGCAGAAATAAGATGAATACAAAAATATCAGTCCTTCCTCTTCCCACTTGTTCTATTGTTACTGCTTTAATTACTGTTTCATTTTTGCTTTAAATAGCTACAAAGAATAAAATTTACTACCACCTGCATGAAGTTGAATCCTGAAATTGTAACTCTGAAACTATTTTCATAGGTTGCAACACTGACAACTAGTAAATGCATTGAATGGATGGGTGGCGTTGGATTCACCAAAAATTATCCAATAGAAAAGTACTATCGTGACTGCAAGATAGGTGAGTGATAGTTTCTTAACAAATATTTCTTGTAGCACTAGTAGTATTAAAGTTTGAGGATGAACGACTGGCAATTTTTTTAACATATTTTTTCCCTGAGACTGGCATCAACACTGCTTCAAAGGCTCAGATATGGGAAGGTAAAACTTTAGGTATAAATATCCATCCATGTAAATCTAGTTACAATGTTTAATTAGATACCGATAAAATACAAACACGCACATTGTGTCCCGTTCTATTAAGAAAATTCCAGTTCAAAAAAACTGAAAATACTTTCTTTGGCTTTAAGATCTGAATCTATGTGGAGCTTTATTTTCAAAACTTCCTTGTTTACCATTCTAATCCTTGGACCTAACAGTTTGACATTTCTAACAATATTACCCTTTGACTTTTACTGCTGATAGCATTTGTAAATATTTAAATTTTGTTGGTTATTTATGAATTGCTTTTCAGGAAAATGTCTTGTCATTATGTTGTACCAGCAGAAAAGTATTTTAATTGTCACAGATAATAAAATATGAACATTTATGTAAACAATAATTCTGTTTCTAGAACTTGCTCAGTAAAGCTTCACTTTGTAATTGTAAATGTTCTAACTGGACTGTTAGAACAAAATCTTGGTCATATACTCACTGTGGGTTTATAGTCTTCTAATTTATTTTCTTCTGATTTCAGGTACAATATATGAAGGAACTTCAAACATCCAGTTGAGCACCATTGCAAAAAGCTTAGCGCAGGAATACTGAAACCATAAGGACTTTTTGACTGTTAACAGAAATCATTTCGCTAAACATTCATTGTGAATTACACTTTTATTTGTAAATACAAAAATCATAAATAAGAATACATCATCACAGACAAAATCATAAGGAGAACCATGAATTCCCCATTTCAGGACAGTGAGCGTTTAATTCATGTGAAATCATGAATTCCACATTCAAATCCAAATCATGGGTTAGAAGTATTTCTTTCTGCCCGAGACTCTTCTAAGCTAACACTTTGGCTGAAATTATTTTGTTGCTTTAGGTTATACAAACAGTGTGTCTCCACTTTGAGATTTCAAAGTGAAAAGAAAAGAAGCCAAATCTTTGGCTCGCCTGGCGTGAAAGGTTTGTTAAGCCACCCGGGAGAAAGGACTCCACATGTGCAGCAGACCTGTGCATGGCATGAAGCTGCTGTTTGTTCATGATGCCCTTTATTAGCATGGGGTACCGGAGAGGTATGTGGAAAGAGATAGAAGGGATGGTTTCCTCTCTCCAAGGTGGAGTGATGTCTGTGGAGCTGCTGTAATTGGAGTAATTTTTATAGCAGTCCTTAGTGTGTTCTTAAGTATTTCTTGGTAATTAAGCCCTTCCAGCCCCAATTTGTAGTACTGAAAGGTGGATAATATCTACCTCCCTTTCCAGCCTTCTCAGCTGTTAAGGGTTTTAATCTAAGAGGCTATTTATAGTTCTCCTTTCATAAAAGGTTGAGTTGAAATCTTTGTGAAATGGGGTTAAAAAAAGCTCTAGTAGTTCTGCAAAAAGACAGAGATATAAGCTAGGTAATAGGAATGCTGTGATACTAACTCGCAATGGCCTTTTCATGTTCAGTGCATTTTACCAACTTTAATCCTCAGAGCCTTCCTGGGAGGTAGAAGACTCGCTCATGGAAGTTAGTGGTTCTCTGGCAAAGTTTTTCTCCTTTTGAGAGAGAGAGAAAGAGAGGGGGATTTTGAAAAGTATTTGGCTTTTTTTATCCCTCTCTGTTTGCTTTAAAATTAGACATTTTATTTACAGCAGAAACCTCTTCAGTGCTGGAGAACTAATTAACTAAGAATCAAGAGACGGAAAGCTTAATATATGAAAAATCATTATAATTGCTGTAATTGGCAATTTGTTTCAAGTGTTTTTGGGAGGGAAGGATTCGTTTTCTGGTTTTGGCTGACTTAGAGGAATCTCATTTTTAAAGCTTGCTAGTCACTGATGATTCACTTCGAGTGGAGCTTAGAATGTTACAGGCTGAGACTCAGCTAGGGTAAATGACACTTAACAAGTACAATTTTGTAAAACAAGCAGACTGCAGTGCCTTATACAAAGAAACAAGCAAGGAGGAAAAGCACTATTAAAAAGTTTTCTGACTTTCTGTCAGCTTCAAAGGGAAGTAGCTACTTTAGTAAATTACTCCCCCTCCATACACACTTTACCTGTTGATAGGCGAAGAATTAATGTGGTAATTATCCTTATGCCAATAAAAAAAGCCCCTCCCATATCAGTTTGATCAACAGCTGTGAGATTTTTCAAAAATATAAGAGCTGGAGTGTGGACTAGATAATTTCTGAAGTTTTCTTCTAGCATCATTATTATTGTTGCTGTCATTAGTATTAGTATCATTATTATAATTATCCATGCATTTCAGGTTGTTTGCAGGCTTTCTTTCAGCTGAACTGAAACGGCTGGGGAGATTGTTAGACTAGTATTAAGACTACAGACACCACAACAGTTATCTACAGTTATTCTGCTCAACATAGTCTATCTGTGAGTCTAAATTATCATAACCGTACTACAAAATGCTTGAGTTAGCATTGATTAATGTGATGAGTTGTGCTAATGTGAGGCAGTCCTTAGCTGATGTGGTTCAGCCTGCTTTGCTAACATGAGTGTCAGCAGAGATCAGGTTTTGATTCATACTGTTTAATAAGTCTCCTAGTTTGAGATACTGTCTGAGCTTCGCTTCTGCAGTATTGCATGAGGCTAGGAAGCGAGTGGCAATACTTAACTGACTTAACATAGTGCTAAAACCAAACCTTTATGGAGGAAAGCACAGAGCTCTTTGAAGGACTGCTAAAGGCTGGATATCCAGGATGATGCAAAAGGACTATCTCTTTGTGTAGAACTGTGTCAGGTATCCATTTGAAAAAATAATCGGGAAAAAATCAAAATAATGTGATTTCCTACAGTCTGAACTCGGATGCCATAGTCCAGCAAACAACCTGAACAGCCTCATCAACTACTCAACAGTTCTCAGAAAAGCAAGGTCAAGACTTTAACTAATGTTACAGCTGTAAATAGTTCACGTGTCTCGGTTCTATATGCTGTATTCTGTACACAATAACTTTTGAAAGAAATGTATGTATTGATTTTTGTCTACAAAATTCTGTGGAGGAATATGCGCACACATTAATTATAACCACTGAGTTTCTTTCATCGTTGTTTTAAAAGGGCACGTACCACTGTGGAGAGCATTAGCTATTCTGGTTGCTGACTCCGGGAAGAGTTAACTTGTTTCATCCCCTTAAATCTGATTCTGTTGCTGCACTAACACAGACGTTGGTTTAGTAATAAGATGTGCCGTGCTGTTGTCCAGGAGCTGTTCAGAGCTGCCAGTGCTCCCCACCCCCTGTTCAGTTTGGGACGGGCATTTATGGATTGTCATAAATCGCATTTCCACGTTGGGCACTGTTGATGGTGGCTGGCTGCACCAGTAGGTGCAGGGCTGCAGAGCTGGCATTGCCAACGCTGTGAGGTTTTCTGTGCTAACGACAGGACTCAAAGCTGCTTTATACACCATATGTATTTATATTAGCGAGTTTTCCCTTTATATGCCCTTAGTCAGCCCAGTCAATCTAGTCTGTTGCCCTGGAACAGCATTTTCGGTATCAAATGTTGCATCTGGGCTTCCATGGTTAGAAGAAAAGACCTGTGTTGAGAATGTATTGAAAGTGCCTGAATTTTTTATTTGACTTGATACAGTGCTAATCCTGTACATCAGGTGATGGTTCTCTGATAATCTGTCATTTTAAATTGTGTCCCAGATCTTGCAATTTTTGTACTAGGAGAGAATGAATACATCTTCTGTCAGGTTTCTTTAGTATTATTGTGGGTTGTGATAAAGGTCTGAGGCAGGTTTCCACAGAAAGGTTTAACTGCTACATGGGAAATACTCAAATACAACATTTTATATAACGTTTTCTATGTTGTTGGTTTTTCTTTCATATTTTCTTTTCCCCATATAAAGATTGTGTTAGAAAAGGCTTATGTGAAATACAAAGTAATTGTTCACTGGGAGCCTTTCACTATGTAAAGAATCTGCTAATTAAAATGTTATTGCATATCCATTTGGAAATCTTTTGGTGAGAGACACATTTCAAGTTCTTCCTACCAAGCTAAGCTCGATTTGAAACCCAGGCTGGTTCGAAAGCAGCTCTCTGACTTTCCTGAGCTTGCTTATTGAAGACATGAAAGCTGAAGAAACGTTCAGAATGTATTCAGTGTACCCTGTCATAGACCTTCTCCTAAGAGAATTACGTGAAAGCGGTTAACAGCTACCACAAATACTTCATAAATATTTACCTGTTACGTTATCCCTGTGCAAACTGTTGGCGGAGGCACAAATCAAGTGAGAGCTGACGGGCAGATGAACGTGTAGTGTACGATTCCCAAAGAATTTTCACGTGATTTGTCACTTTATGTTGTATTGAAATACAGTCGTTGCAGATGGCTTTGCAGGGAGTTGGCTTCTCTGAAGTGTAACTCCTTGGTCTAGGTCCAGGTGAGGAGGCACGGTTAGTAGTCTTATGCTTCTGGATTTGGCTGCCTCGTGCTACGTAGCGTGGTCGGCTGTACGTGCAGGTGAGGGTACGCCAGAGGTCTTGCCGAGCCCACACCAGAGACAGCCAAACCTCAATGCACAGCATATCCAGAGTTCCAGGCTAACAGATAGGAATGACAATAATTATTTCAGTTAAATATGCCAGTTGGAAGATCAGTTGCTATAATTAACAAAGTCCAGCTTAGCGGCATTGAGGGAATTTCTCATTATCTGATACTAGAGACATTATTAAGCTGCTTTGAAATCTTGGCGTTTATTATCCTCTAAAAATATTCTGTTCATGTGCAATAACTGTCTAATACATCTGGTGACTAGAACTAACCACTGTGTTTCCTAGTAGCTTGTTTCATAGATCAGAGCATTCAAATGTTGATTCGTATTGGTAAACTAATGTTCAAAAGAACATGCAGTGTACAATGTAACATTTTTTCTGATAAACCACTTTAAAATATAAATCAGAAAGATGTACGGTCTCAACAGGCAGCCACAGCATTTTTATATATTCTTCTGTCTTTCAAGATCATTTGGATTTACATCTTTCTGAAACTATATTTTTCCTCTGTGTATCTTAATAGCTGTAGAGCTCCTAATACTGGAAGATTATACCTATAAAGAAATCTCAAGGTGACTTCACTGAAGATCCTAAAGAAAAAGCACTCCCACTTGACAGAAAGCTGTGTCTTGATAGCCAAGTAACCAGCACATTCAGAACTGGGTTTATTTAATATACAAAATGAGGACTTCTGAACATGCAGAAACATATGTTCATCAAACATCTTGCAGGGATCTCTGAAGAAAGGAAAGCTATTACAAGCTGTAACCGCTCTCGTACCAAAAAAAAAAAAAATCAAATAGTAACAGGAAAACCTAAAATACAGCAATAAATCCCCAACTTCCACATTGCCAGCTTGTGCTATTTGGGGGTCACCTAACCAGGAAATTAGGATATATGGACTGAAAAGTAAATTCTACTTTCTACCCAGCCAGACCTGGAGGTCTTACAGTCGGTTTGAAGTGTTACACAAACCATTGTCACTATTTGTGACAGTTTTAAAAACATCTGTTGTAAATGACAGATAAGGCAGGGCTGGACTGCTTTGGGTATGCTTAACAGAGGAGAGAGGTCAACTCGCCGACATTAGGAGGACTTAAAAGGAGCTTTGCTTCATCTAACGATGGCTGGAGGGTCATGGTGGGACAGCGCCCGTCAGCGGGAAGAGCTGAAACGGAGTGGT